GCAACACTGTTGAGAACATATGTTCAAGTGACAAGTGATATATACAGAGAACGTATAACAAGATACGTTATACGTTCTCTGTGTGTATGTCTTCTCCGCAAGTGTCATGAGGGGATTGTAATAGATTTTTCATAACAAAGATTACGTGCTGCATAATGGTGTATCATACTTTTAGGCGGTGAGTAAGATCATGCAAATTTATTAGAAAACGAAATAAGGCTAATTAAAGCTCAACAAAATTAAACTCAACTTAATTGAATTAATATAAATATAATATAATAAAACAATTAAAATATAACGAAGAAAAATAAAAATATAATCAAAAATATTAAATATAAAAATATATGGAACAAAATAAAATGAAATTAAATAAAATCTAAAACCAAAGTAAAAGAATTAAAATTTAAAAAGTAAAATAAAGTAAAATGAAAAAATTGTAACCAAATAAAATGAAAAACTTGAAATGAAGTTAAAAAGGATAAACGTTAGTTTAAATATTTAACAAAATCATGTAAAATAAAATTTAAAAAAAAATTTACACAATTTAACAATAAAAGAAAAGAACAGTATAAAAAATTAATTAAAAAGTTAATAGCAAAAGACAAAATAAAATTAAATTAAAAAAAAATATCACGAAAGAAAATACAATAAAAAAATAAAATAAAAAAAATAAATAAAATTAAATTATATAAATTTAAACATGAAGTATTTAAATGAAAAAAAAATAGTTTAATGTAAATTATATAAAATTTAATAAAAAATTAAGCTGAGATAGAAAAAGAAAAAGAAAAACTTAATAATATGGAAAAATAAAAAAGTAAAAACTTTAATTAATAAAATAACAAATTAAACAATTAAACTACATCGCATCAAATAAAATTAAATAAAAAACTATACAAAAACTTAACATTGAAGTAAAAAAATTAAATCTATTCGAAATATATAAATAAAAGAGTTAATAGTAAAGTCAATAAAATAAAGGAATATATAAAGAAAGAAAATACAACAAAATAAAAAAAATTAAGCTGAAATAAAATAAAATAAATTAAGTTAAAGATATAAAACATAATTAACGTAAATAAAATTGAGTTATATAATTACATAAGTTAAAATAATTTAAATTGAAAAAAATTAAATTAATATAAATTATATAAATTTAATAAAAAAAATTAAATGAATAAAATAAAAAACAAAACAAAAAAACAATAAGCGAAATAATATAAAATATATATATGAACTAACTAAAATTAAGTAATACAAAATATACAAACAAATAATTTTTATTAAAATGAAGTTTGCATAGAATTTTATAAAAGGCAAAAAATTAAATATAAATATAAAAATATGAAGAAAATGGTATTTTTTAAATAATAGTACGCACACATAAAATTAAAAGGGCTGAAAAAAGCAAAATTCACTAGTAAAGCTAAGCATAAAAAATTAAGGTAAAATAAAATTAAACAGAATAATATAAAAAAAGAAGAAATAAAACACAATAAAAACATAAAAATTAATTTAAAGAAAATAGTATAAGAAATAAAATAAGGTTGATAAATTAATAAAAGGGATTAAAAAATTGAAATAAGATAAAATAATAAAAACTAAGGTGATATTCTTTCCGAAAGGAGGCTGGACCAAACATTTAAGTCAAAAGGTCCATTAGTCTGATTTCGTTTCTCCTCCGCCCGTGTTCCTGAGGAACAGAACCATCTTCGCTGATATGGACTGCCGGTATCACTAATGAAATTAAATAAAATAAAATAAAATAAAATAAAATAAAATAAAATAAAATAAAATAAAATAAAATAAAATAAAATAAAATAAAATAAAATAAAATAAAATAAAATAAAATAAAATAAAATAAAATAAAATAAAATAAAATAAAATAAAATAAAATAAAATAAAATAAAATAAAATAAAATAAAATAAAATAAAATAAAATAAAATAAAATAAAATAAAATAAAATAAAATAAAATAAAATAAAATAAAATAAAATAAAATAAAATAAAATAAAATAAAATAAAATAAAATAAAATAAAATAAAATAAAATAAAATAAAATAAAATAAAATAAAATAAAATAAAATAAAATAAAATAAAATAAAATAAAATAAAATAAAATAAAATAAAATAAAATAAAATAAAATAAAATAAAATAAAATAAAATAAAATAAAATAAAATAAAATAAAATAAAATAAAATAAAATAAAATAAAATAAAATAAAATAAAATAAAATAAAATAAAATAAAATAAAATAAAATAAAATAAAATAAAATAAAATAAAATAAAATAAAATAAAATAAAATAAAATAAAATAAAATAAAATAAAATAAAATAAAATAAAATAAAATAAAATAAAATAAAATAAAATAAAATAAAATAAAATAAAATAAAATAAAATAAAATAAAATAAAATAAAATAAAATAAAATAAAATAAAATAAAATAAAATAAAATAAAATAAAATAAAATAAAATAAAATAAAATAAAATAAAATAAAATAAAATAAAATAAAATAAAATAAAATAAAATAAAATAAAATAAAATAAAATAAAATAAAATAAAATAAAATAAAATAAAATAAAATAAAATAAAATAAAATAAAATAAAATAAAATAAAATAAAATAAAATAAAATAAAATAAAATAAAATAAAATAAAATAAAATAAAATAAAATAAAATAAAATAAAATAAAATAAAATAAAATAAAATAAAATAAAATAAAATAAAATAAAATAAAATAAAATAAAATAAAATAAAATAAAATAAAATAAAATAAAATAAAATAAAATAAAATAAAATAAAATAAAATAAAATAAAATAAAATAAAATAAAATAAAATAAAATAAAATAAAATAAAATAAANTAAATTAAATTAAATTAAATTAAATTAAATTAAATTAAATTAAATTAAATTAAATTAAATTAAATTAAATAAAATAAAATAAAACAAACAAAATAGAATAAGTTAAATTGAAATCATTTAAAATAAAATAATATAAAATAAATTAAAGTAAGAAAAACAAAGAAAATTAAATAATTAAAATAAAATGAACTTAATATATGGCTTATTAAAATAAAATAAAATAAAATAAAATAAAATAAAATATACAACTCTTCAATTAAATATAAATTTTTAGTAAATATTAAAATTTGTCTCTACATGGCAATACAAACATTATTTTCCCTCATCCTTAAAATGATCGTGTTCAAGACCAAGACACAATAATTTAAAGGTAGTTTCATTCTCTCTTCGCAGTCGGCTTCATAGTTGTCTGACATTTAACGTATTCCGCTTTTTCGTGCTATCCTCTTCTCTTAAAAAAAATCTACCATTTTTATACAAAAGTATGTTGAGAATTTTCATATTTTTTAAACCATATTTTATTGTATTTTCCAATCTTTCATAGTGGACTTCGTCGAGTAAATTGTAAGAAAATATCAGAAAGAAGATGAGTAGCTGAGTGGATTTGCTATAACTACGTCTAATACTTTTAGAGAAGTTGCAAGGAAATTTTGTAAGCAAACAGGATATTGTCTTAAAAATTGTGGGTTTTTTAGAGCAGTGCTCTCATCTTTCCATATGCTCAAACCACTTAGTGTAATTTATGAGGTTCAGGAGATAATTTATGCCTAGAGATGACAGCTGTATTAAGCGACCGATGAAGGAATTACCGGGAAATCGATAGCGGACCACTCTGAGAGCTGAGAAGTGGCAAAAAAAAAGTAGTTTGAGAATCAACACTGGACTTTTCGCATGTAAATGAAACATCTTATGAGTCCAAGTTTCGAAAATGTCAGCTCTTTCCATTTTATTTACAATAAAAAGCATCTAACAAACTTTTTTTAAATCTACTGGCTTGAAGCAAATATTTTAACCAATATATCACACCTATATATTATATTATAGAATCTGCTGGGAAGATAAGCCCAAAAATAGTTAAAAAATCATAAAGTTGAAAATTACATAAGTTGCAAGTTCAAATATTTCTGAGCAAACATGTTATAGAATTTTTGTATCAGGGTTAAGACACCTATTTATGCAGAAACAATTTTTTTTATGTCATTTTTAACTGAGATTTTGTTTCAAAGCAATATTTTGTACAACCAAAATCATTTTTAAATGCTTAGGGATAGAAAAAAAACCTTCAAGATTATGATAATCCTTTTCAATAAATTATATTTAATTTACTTAAATAAATGATATTACTAATAATAAACACATTTGAGGTCATTACTTTGAGGTTAAATAAATTTCGTACGATAAACACGGAAGACTGCACAACTTTTCATATTTTGTCAAAATCACTAACTGCGGACAAATGTTGGCCATAATCAAATACGGATACCAAAGACGAAATTGAGGTGAGTAAAAATTTGAAGATATACACATACATATATATATATATATACATAACACGTACCTATTATCTCTTTGATATTTGTGCTTCTTTAGGTCATTTGAATTAAATCGAAAACGGAGAACTCAGTGTCGCGACCTTCAATGGAAATATGAAAAACTATGTATTTATATATATATATATATATATTATTTAGCATTTATGTAAGTAAATTTGTATTTTTAATTTTTAACATTTCATGGTCCACACACATATTTTCCATTTTCCATATTTTCGCTACATTTGTTTTTCCAAATTTTCAATTTTTCAATTTTTTTTATTTTACTCGCCGCAATTTACGCTCTACACTCATATTTCTCTCGCGATTTTCCGAGTATTTCCCGAGAGCGCAATTCACCGACCACCGACTACAAGATTTTCACCAATAAATTTTTTTATTTATCACTTTTCTACGTATACATATACTTATGTATATGAAAAAAATAAAAAGATTTTGGGATTTTCTTAAGTTTATTTTCTTTCTTCCCACGTTAGCTTTACCTTGCCACACGCACACCAACTCACACTTGATTACACACACAATTCAAAAATGATCATGCCGATCATGGCGATCGAGGGAAAATTCACCAAAATCCCACGAAATATATTTCAGTTGCGAGCGGACCTCTGCACGGAGTGGAACTAAAAAATCTAAAAAAATAATAAGAAATAATCAGTCCGCGGAAAACGTTGAAGTTCATCCATCTAATAAATTTTTCCTACTACATATATATATTTCAGATATATATAGTATATGTATATATATAAAAAAAAAATATTTTGTACCAAAAATATACTAGAAATACGACATTTAAATAATATATATACCTAAAAATATAAATATATCGAGAATACATACATACATATAACTATATGAAAGCATTGAGAATTACTTGGAACTTGAGCGACTAAGAATAAGATTTTGGCAAAAAAATCGAAAATTTAAAAGTCGAAAAATTTCAAAATCTAAAATTCAGCAAAATACATTTTTTTTAAGTGCTTGAGCAGAGATAATAATTCATTTTCATATTTAAAAATAAATATATAAATATAAATCGGAGTTTTTTTCGTTTTTAAATTTAATAAATTTCGCTAAAAATAAGTGTTCAGCGCAACAACAACTAGCTGTGCGATCAGCACACATAGCAATTACTTAATCGTTCAACCTTTTTTTTTTTTGATTTTTTCTCAATTATTTTTCTTACTATTTTCTCGCTTTCAGTTCACACATTTTTTCACAGCAGAATTTTTTTTTAGTTTTAAGTTAAAGCAAAAAGCATAGCAAGAATTTGAAAGTGCCAACTGCAAAGCAAAAAAATAAAATAAAATAAAAAATCAACGCATTGTGAAAATTTTCGCAACCATAAAGTAACAGCTGCATTTTTACGAAAAGAAAATTTCATGAAAATAATATTTTACTCAACTCAAAATCGCACAAATTGATACGAAAACGGAAACGCGACGTAACGTTGCGGTGTGAGAGGGCGATCTGCGGATCGGGCGAGTGAAGAAGCGCGTTTAGAGTAGTACGTACGAACGTAACCCGACGTAACGTAACGGATTTTTTGTGCAACAACGGAGTCGTAAAGAGTTTTTCGTTTTTACATTTTTTTTTTGTGGAATAATGACTTTTTCGCGTAAAAAAGTGCTAGCATTATGCGTTTGTACGCTTTTGGCACTCATCAGTTTTCCCGGATATGTTGATTGTGCTAATAAAAAGGGATCACAGGCTGCCGCAGCAGCGCCACCACCGGCGCCCATCGAACCTGAAGCTGTCATCGAAGAGGTCAATGCCAAGCAATTGGAAAAACTATTGACCGATAAGGATTATGTTGCTGTCTTTTGGTGTAAGTACACGGGCGTTAGCCGATGGGGACAAGTGTGGTGTGGGTGTAAAGCGTTTAGAAATCGGTGCTTTTTTGCTCACTACAGAAATCGGCTAGAATAACCAGGCTAACAGCAGGCAAGCAGCAGCAGCAACAGCTATAAAAGCAAAAGTACAGTACAGTGCATGTGTATGTGTGTGTGAAAATAAGTCACAAAATAGTTTGGAAGGTTAAAACGATCAAAACAAATTGAGTAAAGGTTCAAAATTAAAAAATTTAAAAGGAAAAATACTACAAAATAAAACAAAATATATAAAAATGAGTAAATAATTAAAAATGTTGGAAAAAAAATTATAATAAAAACGAATGAATAAATAAAATTAAATAAATGAAAATAAATAAATAAATAAATAAAACGCAAAAAAATTAAAAAAGTATAAACATTATGACTGCAAATGAAAAGCTAATAACCATAAAAATTAATGAAATTATGAAAAAATATTTAAAATTTATTAAATTTATGAAAAGCACGTCATCGAAAAAATAAAAGAAAATATATAAAATATAAAATAAAAGATTAAGAAATAAAAAATAAAAAAAAATAAATTAATAGAAAATTATTATTATTTTAAATATCATGTCTATAATTTTAAAAATCAAGTGATTTTGAAAAATAATTAATAAGCGCTTGAAAGCAGTAAAAAAATACATGAAACTTGATAAAAAATTAAAAAAAAAAGTAAAGCTTTTCAAAAAGAATGAAAATAGAAAATAAATAAATAAAAAAATAAAAAACCGTTTTCCACACTCAAAAACGATTTTTTTAAACAGCTGAAAATATGTGTGAAAAATATTTAATAAATAAAAACTGAAATAAATCAAAACAACGAAATATATACACGTACATCTAAATATTTTTTTTTAATTTGAAAAAAAAATTACAATTTTTTACAAACTTTTTCAAAACACAAAAATATAAAAGGAATTAAAAATAAATCATGAAAAATTTTAACAAAATTTTTATTCAATAAAATTTAGTGTACAACAAAATCAAAAAAAAAGAAATTGGTATAATTAAAAAAATTGAATTTAAAATCGATATAATTAATTTAGTACACAAACAAAATAAAAATGATTGAGCTAAATAAAAAAAAAAATTAAATTCTATTTTATGAATTACAATATACAATCCAAATAAAAAAAACTTCAAATAGATAAAAATATTAAAAAGCTATATAGTAAACAATTAATTTAGTTTGAAAAAAAAACCCTTTTTTGAAAATCAAAATATACTTCCGAAAAAAGACGGAAACATGTGGTATAAGAAATGAGTTTTTAATATGGAAATTTTAGAAAATAAAAAAATAACATAATTGAAAAGCGTAAAAAAATTAAAATTTAAAAAAAAAATATTAAAAAAAATACATAAATAATTTAAAGATTTTTCCGACAAAAAACCAGCGAAATTTGAACAAAGCTTTTTCAAATAAAATTAAAATTAAAAAATAAAACTACAAAAATATCGTATTGCTTATAAAATAACGGCGAAAAAATTAAATAGTTAAAAACTGAAAGCTAAAACAATACAAATTTATGGAAAAAATTAATAATTAGAAAAAAATTAATTAGAAAACTACCTCACCATATTTGGGAAAGAAAGGAAAGACTTCAAGTATCTGAATCTCAAATATTCAAAACTAAAGAAAAAATTAAACTAAAATAAATAAAAACTCAAGAAACTAAATAAAATTTTTTGAAACATTTAAATTAAAAAAAAAATAAAAATATTTCAAAATCTCAAAAAACTTAAAAACTGTGGAAATTCATTATCCTAATAATGCAAAATATTTAACTAACTTAACAAAAAGAAATCTAAGTATTTTAAAGCACAAAAAGATAATAATAAAAAAAAGCAACAAACAAATTAGTTACTAAAAATTTATTAAACTTAAAAAATAATTAAATGTGTTATAAAAGGCAAAATTAGAGGGAAACAATTCAATTTAAAAAAATTAAAATTAAAAAAATTAAAATTAAAAAAGAATTAAAAATAACTTAAAAAAGAAATTTTAAAACATTTAACAAAAAAAAAAATTCCAAAAAATTTTAAAATCCCAAAAATAAAAAACTGTAGAAAATGATGGCGCTGATAAAAAAAAAATTATCGGAAATTTTTTTTTTAAATTTAACGCAAAGAAGTAAATGATTAAAAACCCGTTAAAGTTAAAAATTTATAAAATTGAAAACAAATAAAAATGAATGTGCAAAGACAAGAGAGTTCAAAACTGAGGGTAATAAAAATGCTGATTATAGCAAAATTGTGCAAAAATTCGAAAATTAAAAAAAAAATATTAAACAATTCAAAATTAAGAAATAAAAAAACTAAAAACATTTAAAAGCATTAAAAACTTTCTTTTTGAAATTTCCAAATATATTCAAGACCCCCAAAAAATGTGCGCCACCAACAAAGCATAGTGTATATGCGCCTAACAAATCACCCGAAAAAATTGCTAACCGAAAATCACCCACAGCTAAAAATTCAAAAATAAACTACAAACGAAAAAAAGCATTAAAATTAAAAATAAAATTTTTACCAAAAAAAAAAAAACAAATAAAAAAACAAAAAAAAAAAACAATACATAACGCAGCTAAACTGAATAGCCAACGAAAAAAAAGAAAAAACAATAACAAAAGCGTGTAGTAAAATGTACTAAATTCAATATAGAGCCACCGAGACCGAGACCAGAAAACCGAAATAGTATTGAGCATTCCAATTTAGTAATGAAATGTGCGTATGACTGTTTGTGTGTGCGTGTGTATGTGTGTGTGGATATTATATAAAAGCCGCAAAGAAAGAACACACACAAAAAAAAAAAAAAAACCAAAAAAAAATACTAAAAAGTGAATAAAAATAGAATATCAAGCGTACAGCAACAATGCGAAATAAATAAAAAGTAATAGAAAGTAAAAAAACGAAAAAGAAAACAAATAAATAGAGAAGAAAAAATAGAAAAAGTACAAAAAAAAGAAAATTCACTAGTAAAATAAGAACCAACAGCAAATTCTAAAATTCTCGCACAAAAGCATCTCGCTACAAAAAATGTGAAAAATTCTGCGCTCGAAAATTTCTGAAATTGTTACGCTGTGTTAATAAATATGTCAAAGTGGTATTGGTGTATGTTTATAGAGCACAAAAAAAAAAACTCATACACGCGCACTTGTACATGTATGTGTAGTGGTGTGACTACTTAGCAGCTGTTCTTGCCTACTGTTAGCTGCTGTTGTTTAACGGGATTTTGTTTTTTGTGCCGCCGCCTGTCAACTGTGGTGGATTATAATATTTATTGCTGATTTCATCTATTTTCTTACTTTGACTTCGAGAGAGCGCGCGCACGTTTGTCAGCTGGCAGTAAATTCTCATAAATTCGAAATGCACACTTCGCCAACACTTTTACAATGTATTTGTATGTATGTGTGTGTTTGAAAAAAGGGACAAATAGTTGTTCCTTTTCAAGCGCACCTGTGAAATTCACCTTTTCCCATTCGCCATACTACGTCCGCCTGTTAGTACGCTCAACCGCTGAACGCGTGAAAGAGCACACTCTCTCTCTCTCTTGCGGTACTATTCATATGTAAGTGTGTACGCTTTTTTGGCCGCACGACAACACTGGGAACACTATTACATACACGTATATGCGAAATAAAATTGCATTTCCTTTTGACGCCACGCGATTTTTGTATCAAAACATTGCATTTTCCTCATTTGTCTATTTCGACTGAACACCCGCACATTCTAAATATGTATGTTTGTATATAAATGAGTAAAAGCGGCTCTGTGTTGGCGTTTAATTGTTTCAACTTTTGTGATTCAAAAACAATATATTATTCACTAGCGCATTTTCTAAGATTTTTATTTTTTATTTTTTTTTTATTTTTTTTTTTATTTTTTTTTTGTTGGTATATATGATAATTTGTGTTAAGTGAAATGAAACACTTTTGTATTGAATAAGAAAAACTACGAAATCATTTATGAGTACACAAAATCCCAGATGATCTTTGTGTGGTTAGTAGCAAGTAGTTGAATTAAAAAACAAGGAAGAAAAATTGTTTTCTTATAGATGAAAAGTTCGTTGGAGGAGCTACATACATATGTATATAATAAAGCTATGTGCAACAAATTTCATACCCATATATGCTTTTTTGATGGATTTTTGACTCAAAAACCTCATATCTGAGCAAATCGGTTGTATTGGAGCTATACCTTATGGCCCTCCGATTTCGATGGTTTTCGGTGGCAATATTCCGTTGTAGATGCAAATTTAGAATACCAAAATTCATACCCTGAAATGCTTTTTTGACGGTTTTTTTACTCAAAAACCTCCTATCTGAACAAATAGGTTGTATGGGAGCTATATGATATAGCCTTCCGATTTCGATGATTTTCGGTGGCATTATTCCGTTGTAGATGCAAATTTAGAATACCAAAATTCATACCCATAAATGCTTTTTTTACCGTTTTTTTTACTCAAAAACCTCCTATCTGAACAAATCGGTTGTATTGGAGCTATATGATATATGTAGATACAGATGTAAAATTCTCATATTGCATGTCTCTAGATGCTTTTTAACAGATTAAAAAACCTGAAATCTCAAATCTGGTCGTATATGTATATGGTCGTATATATTATCCGATCTGACCTGTTCCGACTGTTCCGACTCATTATTGTTTAAATATACCAGTGAATTCGTTTATCAAATCTGTTTGAAATATCTCAAAAACTGATGCTCTAGTTTACACACAAACAGGCAAACAGACGGGCAGATGGATATGGCTAAATCAGCTGAGCAGTTCATTTTGACCTATCGGTATAAATTTTGATGTCTCTATCTCTTCTTCTTCTTCTTCTTCTTCTTCAACTTCGAGTCAAAGTTATTAAACCATTTCATGTACATGAAAGGTATAAAAACTAAAGGTCAACAAAAAAGTTGCTCTGATCTTCAATTTGGACTCGCTTATGAAC